ACTCTATCTGTACTTTGAGTACTTCAGGGACTCTGAAACTGCCATGAGAGTCCAGGAAGTCCAAGTGTACAGCGTTTTCCTTTGGATTCTCTGTACTCAGAGTCCATGAAAATCCAGTCAGAGTACACGGAGTCCAATCAAAGTCCATGGACTCTGTAGAGTACAAACGTACGAGAGTACGTCGTTTCCCCCTTGGTTTGGAAGCTTCTTCTATCTACTCCGTATATTTCAAGAATCAATGTAAATTTGTAAGAGGGATGTCCAAATATTGAGGAATAGGAGTTTTTTCTTAGCTCATCCACAAACTCATGAATACTAAAATTAAAATATAAAAATATCTGCAACATTTATTGCTCTAACATTCATTTTTTCTTTAAGAAATTTCTGAACATGAATGTGTGGATATGAGAACTATTTCAGAAAAATCATTACTTTTACGATCGTGAATGGAAGAACTCTAAGATAACTTATGGTCTATTCTAAAACTTCTAGGAGGCTTTTTTTGGGACATTGATAATTCCTCTAATAATTATCTTTATCGAAATGTTTGATAAAGATTGCGGCTTTTTACATACAAGTCAACAGAATTTTTTTCGTACACAAAATTAATTGAAACATATCCGAATAATTCACAATAATGCTCCAGCATAACTAAATGAACTTGTTAAACCTCTATGTATAACTTTGGGATAACAAATAACTACAACAACACGAGTCATTCTTTCAGAAAAACAACAAATAAATTAAAATCATTTGATTATATATGTATAATATATGGATGACCAAACTAAAATATGGTTTCATTGAATTGTGAACTTATTTTAGTACTACAAAAAAAGAGCAACTTATCAAGATGTTTGTATAATATATATTACTTGATCTATGTAACTCACAAACAGTAGTCGTTATCGTTGTTTTCACAGACTGTCAAGTCAAGATATATTAACGATCTGCAATTGAGATGATATGCAAAATACTATGAGTTATAGGTGACGAGAGAATATTTTTTTTTATAATAATTGTACTGCCTTTTTTCTTTTTCGTAAATTGTCTGTCACTCTTTTATTATTTTCAATATTTGGCGAAATGACATGACAAGTGCAAAAAACAGCTAATAAAATTTTTGAAGTGTTCTTAAAATCAAAGAAAAAAATCAATTGAAAAATCTTCATTCTAAATGAAGACTATGGATAAAATAGAAATATAATGAAGCAAAGAATAACAATAATAATAATAGTTCTAATTTAGATCGAATTCATTTCCGGTTGACACTTGAGAATAAGCCAGATCACTCTTATGGCTTCTTGTACGAAGTCTATTATTCTTTTGCATTAAATGACGTTTGCGTAATATAAATATAGATAAAAGAAGTATAAGAGCGAATACAATTGCAAAAACGATGAAGATTGTAGCAAAACGTCTGCTTGCAGATTTTTGTGAATTTGCGTCACCATTCATCGAGGAGTCAATATTATCTCTTTAAAGAAAAACAAAAACACTTTAGCCAGCTTAAGAAAGTAATTGAAAATTTTCAAAAAATTGAAATAACGAATATGTTTTCTTTTAGTAATCATTGTAGAACTATGCCAATTGAATAATGTCAAAAGTATAACTTTTTTATTCATGCTGAAGTCACTCTCAAACTTGTAATCTCATTCTGATTAAATTTCATAGTACGAATTGTCTTTCAACTTAGCATCAAGTTTGCATTAAAAACAATAAATATAATCGGATATTGAAAACGATTAAAAAAAAACATTTTCACACTCGCAACCCAGATCTATATTACTCAAAGTGTTTGAAACATTTCAATTAACCTACATTCATCCTGATTTCATCTATAGCGATTTCGAATTATCAATAGTGAGAGAAGTCTACTATCAATATGCAATCCTATGTAAAAGCATTGTATAAGCCCACAACTATAAAATTTCTCTGTCAGACTACAGGACACAGACAAACGTAACCGTGCATATCTGTTGTCTGATATAATTCTGTTATTTATCAATATTAGAGTCATTTAACTAGGATATGAATAATCCAAAGTGACATGAAGATTTCGTAAGGCATAATATACAGCCCATCGGATTGTAGTCGTTTGAGAAATTTACAGAGCGTACTAGCCATCGATTAAGACAAAAAAGAGAACAAAATATTTTGCATCTTCGAGGCGAGTATCTGACTCCAGTGTGAAAATGTATCTAGTCAAGGATATGATTGATAGGAAAAGCTTAACTTGTATGCTTCTACTTTATAAAAGTGTATTGATCGTACAAAGTATTACTAATTGACATATTGAACAACTCAAAGGTCACACAAAATACGCGTTAGAATACGTAAATGTACATATATTCTCATCGAGTAATGCTTCTTTTGTAAGTACTTGGGACTTATCTAAACAAATTTTTATAGTTTCCAAGGAAAGATCAGACTATGCTTTGCATACATCATATTGAAAACTAACCGTTTTGCTACAATAGCACGCATTTTTCGAATCGGTGCCTTCTGACATATTACAGTTGCTAGCTGATTACAAGGTATTTCATCACATGAAATAGATACTTCAACACCAGCTCGAAAATCAGCATATGCACAGCCAGTTTGTTGAGTTTTTAATCGTTTTTTTTCCTTCATTGATGAAGTTGATGATGACATTAATGTTTCATATCGCTCACGAAATGTTTTTTCGCATAAAGTACGAATAGTATTAGAACTTGTTATATTTGGTAAAGTATTTCCATTGGTTGTGTTATATTGTATAACAGTACGATTTTGATTATCATAAATAACACCAACATGAACAATACCAGATGATGTATAACTACGTCGACGTACAAATAAGAATTTTATCAAGTGCAATGTCGCCATTTGTTCAGGTATAAATAACATACTTTTATCACGTTCGCATTCTGATTTTGCATCCTGCCAAGTTTTTTCGTGAAATAATATTTTATAACAGTACTCATCCATCAAATGATACTCTTCATCATCACCACATGTATAATCTGTTGTTGTATTAACTGATATTATTGACGAGTCACCATTTGTACTCAAAGGAATAACGATTGGATTGAATTCTAGATGTCGGTCAACACAAACTGGTATAGCAGACATTAATGAACATTCATTTGATTCAATAAAACACTGTTCGTAAGTCACTGCATCATGAATTATAATTTTTTCGTAACGAAGAAGAATACAATGTTGATCAATTAGTTGTGATGTTTTTGAACATCTTCCAATAGAACGATCTGATGTTTTATTGTCATTTGTAATTTCAGATGTACGATCAATCCAAAAATACTGTGTACTATTGGAAGCACGCCAAATAGAAGAAAATCGATATTCAATGTAAGAATTTCTATTTAACACTGACATGGGTAATATATCTTGAATATCTAAAATATCATTTATTTTTGCCACCATAGCACCAATCGATTTACAATAAGATTGTGCAGTTGAAAATGAATTTTTCTTTGTTGAAATATCAACAGATAGACATCGTCGTTCATCTTCGCTAACCTGAAAACCTACAAAAATAATAGAACGCCATATTTTCTATTGAATGAACGACTAAGTTTTGATTTCTGTTTTCTTACCAACAGGACATTTTATTTTCATGAAGTACACCGAATATATCGATGCATTTTTTGAATTTCCACATGTATATAAGTAATTAGCTGGACATTCTTGGGTACAATTAGAATCTCGAGGTGTGAACAAAATATCTTGTTTTTTTTTTATCAGAATATTTGTACATAGGCATTGGATTGAATTAAGAAGAGCATATTTTTGTCGATAACTTGTACATAATTCTAAACAATAACGTGGATGAATATCACTTGGATTATTTAAATTGAATTCATATATTTTTGATTCCTTGACAGAATCTAAATGTATACACCTATCATAAGCGAAATCAGGATTTGATATTGAAAATTTTTCTCTATCGCCATAGCCGAAGAAATATATAGAAATAGACGTTTCAAAGACAACGATTGTATTTTCATTGCCACAAAGTTCATGTTGGTTACCTAAAATTATCAATTTATTACATGTATATCTACATCTATTCACTTAATCGCGTGTAAATTCAAGTTCCAATAAAGGATTCAATTTCTTTTTAAAGTAGGAACATAATCAAAATAACACAAGAGATATAAATCCATGGCTTTTTCTCATAGATATATTTGTGGAGATAAATGAATCTATTCATTATGAAAATTGTTAATAATAGTATACTCATAAAAGAGTCCATTAGGTCCGGGAGCAGAATTAGGTCACTCAGTGCTTCTGGTACTCGATTTGAATTAACTCAAACGTAACTGTAAGGGGTTAATTGTAGAACAGAATAAACCTAGGCTTGTAGACAGGTTTCCTCTACATCATGGCACCATGTCATAGAAGAGGAAATTTGCGATGAAATAAAAATCGAGATTTCGAGTAATTGAAAAAATATATTTAAACTGAATCCGAAGATAATTGCATGAGTAAAGTTATGTGAAGAATATTTTACCATGTCTGCGGTTCACAAATTTGTAGCTTTAAGCGAATCAAAATAAAAGAAAACTATATGATCGTTCGAGATTGTAGAATTTTTCTAGTGGTAAAAGTTCAGAAGTGCTATTCGCGAAAGTAACGCAAACTTTTGCCTGTTTTAGTCAAGACTAGGGTTCGAAAATAGTGCCTATGAGGCATTCACAAATGAATAAATTTCGTTCATCCGTTTTCGACTTTCTTATTGTTACAGGCTGATCTCAAGATTTTCCTTCAGTACTACAATTTTCAAATACAGTTGAACTGATTTAACAAAACAAAACACATAAGCATCTATCACTGAAAACATACCTGGACAAGGGTATCCGCATTCTTTTTTTTGATATTTTTCGTAATTAGGATTCCAATCAAGTGTCTTTGGAAGATTATTTTCGAGACAATAACATTTATTAATATGTATAACAACTAATGTCATTCGTAATCTTTTACAAACAAATGAACATAATTCATATGTTAAATGATTTGATATCATTGCTGGTACACCAAGTGTTAATGGTTTACGATAACAATGCCGGTAGAAGTTGAAACTATGTCTTGACTTTGTTTTGCATAGCACATGTCTGGGTTTCGAACAATTATTAATTTCAGTATTTTTTACAATAAAACTACTTTTTCCATCGATCACTGAACGTGTGAAAAGCATACATGAATCATGTTTTATAGTTGAGTTGTCATTATCATTTGAATTAATCATTTGAAATTCATTTATTGATGAAAGATTGATACTAACATTGGCTGCTAGTGGTAGTGCATGATTATTGAACACTGATGGCAGAAAATTATTACTGGACACTATTTGTGATGGTACTCCATTGATGAATATTGGTCGTGGATAGCTGCTGAGAAATCCAGTTAGATAAGGTATTGATTGAGTATTTGATACATCTAAGAAAATATTATTTTAGTGTCATTGAAAAAAAAAACATCAAAACTATGTTCATGCTCATTACGTCCTGTATTATCCTTGAACATCATTTATGACAACTTATTATTGTCAGATCATAACCTTTTTCTTTCTCATATGAAAATTATTCTGTTCCTAGTACAAAACTCTTCTCGATCAATTTAAAGCTATAGTCTTTTTCTGAATCTTTCATTCTAAACTTCAGAGTATTCAGAAAAAAAACACATGAGTATGCCATTCGTCACATATATAATCCTCATACTAGTTGAATGAGAATCTTCATTTGTTTTCATATATTGTCGAGTCTCAATCACATGAGTCCCTTATCTATGATCGATTCATAGAAATTACAGATGTCAGTAGAGCCTGTCAATTCCAACATCTTTAGATCTGGACCCGATAGAACCAAACTTTAATATTCTCAATTTAAGTCTCGAAACACTCTTACAAAAGAACACATCAACTGACACTCGTCTATTTGAAACTTTTAGATCTGAAACTGGACCCAGTTAAAAAAAAATTTCATAATCGAGTTTGAGTCTTATCCGACGGTTTTTAACCAGCAGTAGTATGAACAATGTGCAAAATGGCAATTGAACTGAACTCCTCAAATTCTATACTTTCCATTATTTACTCGAATCTTACATAATCTCAAATGACTTCTGCTCTACTTATTCACTAATTATAAACTAAGTAGAATCCCCTAAGTCATAAACAACTACTTGAAAAAAAATCGATCAGATTTCTATCGGAGACTTTACTTGTATCAAGAAGATAAAAGCCAAGACCGGCTTGCCATTTTGATTCATATTGAGCGATTTCACCTTTCAATAAACCATTCATATAAGTTTTGAGTTCCTTCTCCCTTTCCTTCTTATCATCATCATCATTATCATCATCATCATCATCATTATATGGTATAACCGCTTCATCATTCTTCATTTGCTCAGCAGTGGGATCATTAATACAACTATTTCTTGCTTCTTGAATTGTTTTAGGTTCATCCGATATCCGATAACAATGTCCATTCAAATCAAACCAATTCGTTGGACAAGTAGTCGTCATTATACCAAAAGTAGATGCATAAATTGAAGAAATTCTAAGATTAGGAGATACCGAATTTTGATTCATTGGATTTTCTATGCATAACTTATGAGGTGATGTATGTGAATAAGACAAATATGAAACTACGCGTAAACAACCGTTATCTAATACATAATTTGCACTGAAATTCCTATGAAAATAATATATATTAGTAAGGCTTGGATGGATTTTATTGATGTTTGTTGTTGTTGTCGAACATTTCCATGAAGGATCAATAGTAACATCATTGCCAAAACTAATTGAAACACTCGATTTAGTTAAGTTTAATTTTTCAATAACTTTAAGAAAGACATTCCATGTTACATTTCCATCATAGACATACTCTATTGATGGTGGTGAACATGAATTCAGAAATCCGCTCCCTATAGATATACATTGCTTTAGTTCTTTTATATAAACTGACTCAAGCGGACATGCATCATTCAAATCATATATAGCCCATATACGTGAATCTTTCAACGAGCCACATTGAAATGTATGTTGAACTTTTGAATCACCCAATGTGCTATCACAATATCGGTCACAAGTATTATTAGGCAAAATTGAAAAATAGCGTTCTTTAAAATCTGTTTTTAATTTTCGTGGCATTATACATGAACATTGATTGTTATCATCATTGAAAGCTAAAAAATAAATTTCCAATTTCTTTGTTTTCTTCAGTATAGTTTTTCTTTTCTGTAGGTTTTTATCAACGTCAAGCTCAACGAAAAGCATTTTATTTACGCCTGTTTGCTGTATTCGTTAAACTTCTTTGAAAAACGTTTTGGACAGAATGCAACAAAAACTGATTTAGGCAATCTTGTTTTCTCAAAGATCTTCAACGTAAACTTTATAGGACTCGCATATGTTTTCGAAGAAAATGCTGAGTGTAAGTTTTAAAGGAAGGTTTTGCGGTTCCCACTCACTTCTTCCAATTACAAACATTAGCAATTACCGCCCCGCCCCCATTTCATCGTGAAAATTAAAGACCATTGTAACTAGGATCCCACTTGTATCTTCTCCATCGTAGACATTAGCAAAAAGCGTACCCCACAATTACAATCCTCAAATATAAGACAGCTTCTTATGAAAGACTTTTCACTTTACCTATTTCGCATCAGTTTAGCGAGGCCAAAAGATAAATGTGAGCCTCACATTTCAGTCCCAGAGGGTCTACACTACCAAGCGTTTCTTGAATGTGATTTTCTGAGCTATAGTCAATCACTTATGAGCACAAGAAAACCGTTTCCGAGAATGTCCGTTTGCCATGTAGAGAATCCATCCTATCCATCACTCAGATATTTATACAGTATCTTATGTAGTTAAATTAGTAGAATAGAATATAGTGATTAAAAAAGGTTCGATTTTCTATGAGTATGAGACGACTATCCGATAGTTATTCACACTTTACATGTTTCTCATACCTATGGATTGTGTTGTCGCATTTTGATCAAGACATGCAGCAGCACATCGTTCTAATTTAATTAATGATGATTTAACAGATGATTCATCAATTTTAACCTGAAATGTATCATAATATCCAGAAGCATTCCATAATTGACATGATGCAAAGTGAATTTGATACTTAAATAAATAAGCATGTTTTGTATAAAATTGTTCTTCTGCATAAGCTGAATACCCTTCTGAACCACCACATGTATAAGTTGTTTTAACTTGACGATCACCTGGCTTTGGACATGGTATTGGACAAAATCTATCGCTGCCTCGATTATAATCCATAAGACCTCCACCTGAACATCGACATACTGAGGCTTGTATATAAATTATCGGTGTTTCACATAAACGAAAACATAATGTTGGTTCCATGTATGAACTTGTAAAATAACTATTATAAAATGCATTTGTATAACAACCCATATAACGATATGAACTATAAACTGGATGTAATATGGAAATTATAATCAAAAGAGAAATGATCCTTAAGTACAACATCATATGTTGAAAAAATATAAGTAAATGATTGATGAAAAAAAAATTGAAAATGTTTCTAAAATGTGCGAAACAAGAAAAGAAACATGAGATGTTTTGTAATTATTTAGTATCAAAAAACTGATAATAATAAAGAAAAAGAACGACGACCTTTTCATTCTTGTTATCGATATTTGATAGCAAAGTTACGAGTATAATGTTTCTATGATGGGAAAATTTAATCTACAAAGTTCATTGGATTTTGTTTTGTTTGTTTCTAATATCTGATTGCTTGTTTAGATAAAAAAACAAAACATGATGTAGGAACGTAAACACTGTTAGTGCAAATGTTACAGGATCAAAATTTGAAACACGATAAAGCAGTTATTCGTGCCCTCGACAATAGCATTCTGAAGGTGTCTGTCATGGCTTGTGCAGTGAGAGAAGCAGGTTCATGTTTTTACATAAAATACTTCAAAAGTGTTTTCGAACTGTGTTTTACAACAATTCTTCATTTAATACAGTTTTAACAGAAAATAAAACATGAAAAAGTGGTCTTGTATTAAAATAACAGGGCCAGATTGTATTTCACGACACAAAATTTCTCAATTCTTTATTTGAACAGTTCTCAACATCTTTCGAAGTATTTTTTAGCTGCTACACAGTGGGGAGCCAGGCGGACATATGCGAAAATATTCTTTTTCAGAATCTAANAAGATGTTGAGGAATAGTTCATTTGGTAAGGTTTCAAGTTGAGTTGACAGCATTATTGTACGATTACAGAAAAGTAAGTAACTGATGGTATTGTTTCTTCTTTCTAACCTTACATTTCTCTTATGCAATCACAAGAACAGAAAGAGCAAAAAAAGTAGTAAATGTAATGAAAAATGTTCTTGTTCTGTTTGCCTTTGTTATCTTTCTCTTCTTCTTGATTTCATATACAGTTCTCATTTCTCTTTGCACTACAATATTCGTCTTTTTTTTATCATGGAAGAAACATTTTACCTTGTCAATGGCACAACTTTGTACTGATAGTCCTTCTTACACTGAGTTGTTCTATGTAACCAATTTTTCTGCCTTGTTTTTGTTTAGCTATCTTAGTAGGCTTACAACTCATCAAAATCTTCTACCTTCAAGTCCAATAGTATACGACTTTGTTTTCTTTTTATGCTGTGTTTCCATTTTTGCATCAGAGATCGAAAACGAATCAAGTCGTAGAATAATTCGACTGATTAGTAACAGATGACAGCAAGACAACTAATGCTAATATAAAGTTTATATGATAAACTCTTTATGATTGTTCAACTTATACAGACCCTATATTGTGAAGAATCTCATATTCACCAACGAGAATAAGTGTGTCATACTTTTTTTGTTCAGGATTCGGTTACTGTTTTGCAACTTGTCTTTGACTCACATTTAAATAAAATCCTCTTAACTAACATGTTTATTAAAAATGACTGATTTGAATTTCGACATTATTATTGTTTTAGATATTCAATTAGTTAATAGTCACCAATATAGTTTATCGTCAAATATTAGTTTATTTTGAATAGCTTCACGGACTATACGAAAGTTAATTGATTCTGTTAGTAATATGAGGTTACTAGGCAATGTCGTTTTAGCTCAAGCATAACGCAAGAACCATAGTTGTTTACAGGAAATCTTAGATTCTAAATCAAAATTCAAGTCTTTTGGTTTGGGCGGGTGACTGTTTCTCAAGAGAAGACTGATTCCCTCTCCTCAAGTCTTCTCATCCGTGTTCCATGTGCTTTATCGAATGTTGAAATCGGCTTGGGGATATCTCAAACCATTTGTTTGCAAGTTGAAAACACAGAGTTTTCCGTATGGGTCATAGGAAACACGAGGAGTAATTCCAGCATCGATTCGCTCAGACGGCGTCCCAAATCCTTTTCTCAGTTACAGTAGATAGAGCATGTCGAATTCTTCTTTGAACACAATTGAGAACACCTGGAATGCTTTCTGAGTGAATCCGGGCCAGGGGCGTACCCAGGGGGGGTGCCCTCAGGTGCCCGGGCACCCCCCTCAGCCAAAAAAGCCTGGAGGGGGGTACGGGTAAAAGATTTTTTCGGGAAACAAAAATTAATTTTTCTGCTAGTATCTAGCCCCATAATGAGTCGGGCACCCCTCTCAGAAAATTCCTGGGTACGCCCCTGATCCGGGCTGAGATTACTGGAATCCGATGCTAACTTCATCTATGTACAAACATGTCACTTTTTTGTACAAAATGAGTCTTAGAAAAATTGGGATTCACTTTCTATGTGGTTTGTTCGTTTTGGACAGCTTTTTGGCATCAAAATTTTTCATGTGCAAAAGTGACTAAATTTATTAACGAAAAATTGGGTATAATTTAATGTTGTCCAAATGCATACTTTTTTTTACACGATAGTTTGTACTTTGTTATTTCGCTCTAGTTGCACTGAGATACGTTTTAATCAATCAATACTCAGTTTAACTTTCCATGATATTACCTTATGCATTCAATTATACAGAGATAAAAATGCTTCTACAAATCTAATAGCAGGAAACGCCTTAGCAAAAAATTTAAAGTATTGTACAACCAAGAATATGCTTTGAAGAAATTTTGAACGGATATTATTCTAAGTAACTGTTATTTATATTTTCTCATATCTGTGATGAAGACTAAGAATTCCGAACATTATTATCTCAATACAACTGAATGCATAATGTAATTTCGTGAAAAGTTAAACTGAGTATTTACTGACTAAAATGCATTTCTGTGTAACTAGTGCAAAAAGAAGAAAATAATTAAATAATAGAAATATTATTATTATTATATTTTATGCATATCTTACCATATTAATTATTGAGTCAACATTAAAGAAAAATCAATTTATAAAACAATTTTAGACTCATCTAAGATTGAAGATGTTAAAAAATATCTCTCTTTACTTCATGAACGAATTACTCATTGTAAATAAATAATATACACTTTAATACTATTTGGATATCTCTTTATCCGTATAACTCAATATTAGATAAAAACAAAATGGATTTGTATTAGACAAGAAGTATTTTATATTAATTTCTGGTCATTTCCAATGATAGTAATGATCTTTGTAAGCACGTATTTTAGAGTTTATCGTTCAATATTTTATAAACTTCGAACGTATCTTATAACAGTGAGTATGACTAACTTTTCTCAGGACAATAATTTCGACATTGTGAGACAATAGGATTTTGTCGAAATGAGTCGAATAAATACAGAAAAACATTAGAAATCCGTACAACATGGAAGTAATCTACTCCAAAGTCGGAATGTCCTGTCATTTTTTCGATCATTTCTAGTCGAAAATAGCAAGAAAAATCCAGAGACTTTCTGCGACGGAATATTGCTTGTAAATTCCATCAATTTCCATTGTTTTTCTATCGAAATCAACCCATATGCATTCACGTGAGTCGAATATCTAAATATAAATTGCTTATCCAAAATTTCAATCATCACATTAAAGTACAATGAGTATCAAAATTATTCGACAAGGTTTATTTTCATTATTTTTCCATTAGCATATTTGCTAGAAAAAAATTCAAATAGTGATTTAAGTAGAGAAAATTGTTTCTAACAGGAATATAAAGAAATAAAAGTTATTATCTGATTCCCAAAGATAGGAACTTCAGAAAACCAAAAACACTAATTTTTCAGCACCTACACCGCCTAAGTATAAGTTTGTTTAGATTACATAAAACGATAGAGCAAACAATTCTCTACAAAACAAGATGTTTTTGAGATTTCTGTAGCATTTTTTAGCTGAGATACATCAACTTGACGGAAGCGTCTAAAATCGTATTTTTTTACTATTTCTATAGAAAAGTCATTTCTTTTTACCTTCAATCAAATTACTGTATCTGAACCAAAAACTGTCACAGAGAACTTGGCGATGTCTCATTTTGTATATTTTAAATAAAATTATACTGACGCGTTCTAGATGCTGAAAAACTAGAATTTTGATGTTAAATTCAAAAAATTAGATCTTTACATATAAATAGAACTTTTTCTTTTAAATTAATTAATTAAACATATTAATAAAAGTTTCCATACAAACAGAACCACAACAGGTGGTTGTTTTAAATAAAATATGGAAATATCTTATTGGTCAAATTTTATATTCAACAGATGTCATTTTATAGGTTTTGAAGAAACTTTTTTTGCATAAGAAAAATTCTTTAAAACCCATAAAAAAACTAAAAAAAAACTATTTCCTAAAAAAATTACAACACACATAAAAAAAGCATCTTTCTATTTCTAAACGAAGGTTTTATAAATCATTGCAATAAAATCAACAATATGATGATGGCGAATACCATTTAACATATCTTTTCTATTTTTTTTTTCTTACATGGATTTGTCTTTTTTAAAATAACTATATATTTTTCTAGATCATTGTATACAATGCCGGCTAAAGCAGCACAACCAAAAAAAAAAGAAAAAGAAGCATCCGGAGGTTCATCTGGTGGTAAAGCTAAAAAGAAGAAATGGTCGAAAGGAAAAGTTCGCGATAAACTTAATAATATGGTAAATTTTACAGTTGTTTGTTTGTTTTTTAATCTATTATCATCTATCTTAAGGTTTTATTCGATAAAGCAACTTATGACAAATGTGTCAAAGATTTGCCACAATATAAACTAATCACACCGGCTATTGTATGTGAACGTTTTAAAGTTCGTGGTTCATTAGCTCGTTCAATAATTCGTGAACTTCTTCGTCGTGGTCTTATACGTTTAGTTGTTAAACATAGTCGACAAGAAATCTATACTCGATCAACTAAAGAAGATGCACCAGGTGAACAAGATGCTGGTAAAGATAGTGCAGGTGAAAAGAAAGAAGGTGGTGGTGGTAAGAAAGGTGGCAAAAAAGCAGCTAAAGCCGAAGTAACAGCTGCAGCTGATGAAGCTATGGCTGAATAAAATAAAATATCATAATAACACGAAATCCGTTTTTTTTTGTTTGTTCATTTGTTTTTTTTTTGAATAAACATAAGAAGAAAAAAAAAAAAAGAAAACAACAACAACAAAGAAAAAATTTCATTAAGAAAAACAATAATTTTCTTCTAGATATGTTTTCATCCAATAATTCTCAAAATAAACGTAAAGAAATCTATAGATATGCAGCACCATGGATGGTTTACGCTATGAATTGGTCTATTCGACCAGATAAACGTTTTCGTCTTGCACTTGGTTCATTTGTTGAAGAATATAATAATAAAGTAAATACAAAAAAAAAAAAAAAAGAACATTGAATAAATAATTCTTCATCCTTTTTTTTTTCATAGGTTCAAATTATTTCACTTGATGAAGATACATCAGAATTTATATCACGTTCAATATTTGATCATCCTTATCCAACAACAAAAATTATGTGGATACCAGATACAGTAAATAAAGTTTCATCGTAAATTTTTTTTTTTTTTTTTCATGTTTTTTCTTTCATTTATTCTTCTTAAGAAAGGTACTTTACCTGATTTACTTGCTACAAGTGGCGATTATTTACGTATATGGCAAACAAGTGATAATGGAACAAGATTAGAATGTTTATTAAATAATGTAAAAATGGTCGAACTTGTTTTTTTAAATTTTATTCAAACTTTTAATTGTCTTAGTTTTTAGAATAAAAATTCTGATTTTTGTGCACCATTAACATCATTCGATTGGAATGAAATTGATCCAAATTTAATTGGTACATCAAGTATTGATACAACGTGTACAATATGGGGTCTTGAAGTAAATATTCAAAACTAGGGAAAAACAAAAATTATTAACATATAGATTTGTGCCGTCTAAGAGAGTTAGAAATTTTTTTTTCAAATAGGATATAAAAAAAGTTTATCAATCACATCTGTATTAGCAAATTATGGTAGTAATATTTTCTTTCATATAGTACATCATTCAGTATCTTAAAAGAACAAATAAAAATGAATGATATTTCAAATAAATATTACCATTGATTTTAAACATAACACTTATTTTTGTTTTTTTTTGTCAGACAGGTCAAGCTATTGGTCGAACAAATCCAATAAGTGGGAACGTTCGAACACAATTAATTGCTCACGATAAAGAAGTATATGATATTGCTTTTAGTCGTGGTGGTGGTGGTCGTGATATGTTTGCATCAGTTGGTGCTGATGGTTCAGTACGAATGTTTGATTTACGTCATTTAGAACATTCAACTATTATTTATGAAGATCCTCAACATCATCCATTATTACGTCTTGCATGGAATAAACAAGATCCGAATTATTTATCAACATTTGCTATTGATTCAACTGAAATTATTATTCTTGATGTTCGAATTCCATGTACACCAGTTGCTCGATTAAATAACCATCGAGCTGGTGTTAATGGTATAGCTTGGGCACCACATTCACCATGTCATATTTGTACAGCAAGTAGGTGTTTTTTTTTGTAAAGAAAGAAAAAAAAACAAGAATAATTTAATTGACTTTTATTTTTTGTTGTACAGGTGATGATAGACAAGCATTAATTTGGGATATACAACAAATGCCAAAGACAATTGAAGATCCAATTCTTGCTTATACAGCTGATGGTGAAATAAATCAAGTACAATGGAGTACAACACAACCAGATTGGATAGCAATATGTTTTAACAATTTTCTTGAAATCTTACGTGTTTAATTTATTTGTATATAAAAATGCATTTTTTGTTTTAAATGTATTTCTTAATGTGATGAAAAAGTCTTTTCTATAGACATAAAACATCGATGGTTTTGCATTGTTTTCTTCTTCTTTTTGTTTTATTTTATACATATTTAAAAATAGAATTGAATTTATATGAAAAGATGTCGTGAGATTGAAAATTTGTCTCGCATCTTTATGTTTTTTTTTTTTCTATTTTTTATGTCGGTCGTGTTTTAGACATCAGTATAAAGGACAACTTGTGTTTCATTGACAACCAATCGAATATAACTTTTGAAAAGGTATATAAGCGGTTTATTTCATGTCATTCTAGATATTCATTACATTAATTATCTATCATGTCTGGACGTGGCAAAGGTAAGTTTATTTTTTTTTAGTCTCCTTAGAACAAAAAAAAATGGTTCGATGATATATTTTGATTTTTTTCAGGTGGAAAAGGCCTCGGCAAAGGTGGTGCCAAACGACATCGTAAAGTTCTTCGAGATAATATTCAAGGTAAGTCATCTTGTCATAGAAAGTTTATTCATATTTCTTATGACAGCTAACAAGATATCACTATATTTCAAGCTAAATAAACAGTATATATATATATAATTTTCTTTTTTTATACATCTGAATAGGTATTACTAAACCAGCTATTCGTCGTTTGGCTCGACGAGGTGGTGTTAAACGTATTAGTGGATTAATATATGAAGAAGTTCGTGGTGTTTTAAAAATTTTTCTTGAAAATGTAATTCGAGATGCTGTTACATATACAGAACATGCTAAGCGTAAAACAGTTACAGCAATGGACGTTGTTTATGCACTTAAACGTCAAGGTCGTACACTCTATGGTTTTGGTTCATAAAGAAAAAGAAAAAGAAATATATACATATATATAAATCTAATTGTGTATTTAATGTTGTTGTTCTTTATTTCGTGTATTCATGTTTTCACTATTGTACATTGTTCCTCATTTATTCATGTTGTGTATTCTTTACTGTATCGTTTGTCATTAAAGATTTTCTCTTAGCTTTATGTTTATTATTATATATCATGAATAAAATAAGAGAAAGTTAGAAGAAATTTAGAAAACAATTGATATTGTGATATTTATATGTATAATCAATAAGTAATTACACAACAATTGTGAAATATAATCAACTAATGAAAGATAATTGATGTAGATTTTCTTCGTTGTAGGTGTCGAAAAAAAACGATATTAAAATCTTAAGTGCATTTAAATAATTATTAGTTTTTCATTGGTCCAAGCTTATAGGATGAAAAGAAAGAGATATAAAGTCATGATGTTTTATCTTCAATACTGGATTTATATATTAAAAAAACTGAAGACTATGATAATATCACATGAAACACTTTTTGCATAGCGGATGATACCACATTTAATATTAGCACAGATTCATTATGAAGTATCTGCAAAATGAATATCCTATGTAAAAGTAGTTTAGCTTAGTTTCTATTTGACTTTTTTTATTTACCGAAACCTGACACAATCTCAACAGGCAATGTCTCTCTGATGATGACTCATTGTTCAACATTTTCGAAAACTAATCAGAAGATGGCGCTTGTATACAAAATAATAAAAATTTACAAAATAATAAAAAATATAATGTAAATAAAATTTAAAATAATCTTTAAAACTTATTTATAAAGTTTTTCTCATGAATTATAATCAACAGATTTTTATTGATACTTCCAGTATGAAAGTAAAATATGGACTATTCGACGCCTCTATCTCAGATAGTTCTTAATAGTTTATTCGAACGAAATTTATATATATTTGACAATTTCCTATTTTCGTTATTTGTTTTTAGATCTATCTGTCGTAAGTTCATTCTTTACAATGACTGAAACGTGAGCATGAAGTTTTTGTTTATTTTTAATGATTGTTAATTGTTTTAATTTTAGCGCTAAAAAAGTAAATACAGCTACAACATCAAAAAAGGCCGTACCGAAAGTACCAGAAGTCTTATTAAAAAAAAGAAAACTCTATGCTGATCTTAAAGCACGTCGACTTCGTGCACAAGTTCAAGCAGCTAAAGTAAAAAGAAGATTTAATTTCAAAATTCATTCTGTATACTATTTTCGTTAATAGCACAAGAAATACAAACGTTTAATTATATTTAAACGTGCTGAAAAATATACTAGCGAATATCGTAAAAAAGAACGTGGTTTAATTCGTCTTAAACGTTCAGCTAAAATTCGTGGTAATTATCATGTTGAAGGTGAACCATCACTTGCTTTTGTTATGCGTATTCGTGGGTATGTTTTTTTTTTTTTTTCATATCAAGAACTTTTATATTAAAATTTTCTTCTCTAGTATTCGTGGTGTTCATCCACGTGTAAAACAGGTTCTTCGTCTATTTCGTTTACGTCAAATAAATAATGGTATCTTTGTTAAACTTAATAAAGCTACTCTTCAAATGTTACGTATTGCTGAACCTTATATAGCTTGGGGTTATCCAAATTTAAAATCTGTTCGTGAACTTATTTATAAACGAGGTTTTGGAAAAGTTAATAAACAACGTATTCCATTATCTGAAAATAGTATTATTGAAAAATCTCTCGGTAAATTTATAATGAAAATAAAATGTTTAACTTTTTGTAATATTTTAATTGTCCATTGTATTTAGGTAAACAAAATATCATATGTATGGAAGATCTTGTTCATGAAATTTTTACTGTTGGAGAAAATTTTAAAAAGGCTTCAAACTTTCTTTGGCCATTTAAACTTAATAATCCAAAAGGTAATTAAGAAAGAAAAAAAAATTTTTATATATAATTATGAATTTGTATTTTTTCTAGGTGGTTGGCGTAAGAAAGCTAATCATTTTGCTGATGGAGGTGATTTTGGAAACCGTGAACAATATATCAATCAATTGTTGCGTAAAATGATTTAAAAACGTGTTTTATTTGTTTTTTTTCACGTTTTATTCATTTATCAACAGCAACACGGAAATAAAAACAAAAAGAAAAATTGTTATTGTTTTGTTTTTTCTTGTCGATTTGATCCATTCGAGAAAAATAAAACGAAGAAGATAAGAATTTCAAATTTCTCTTTATTTATTTATTATATTAAAATTTGCCATGGAAATATCACATTCATTTTTGATGAATACGAAAAAAAAAAAAACGAAGAAATTAACAATTGTTTATAATGTTTGATTTTGTGTTTTGCAGGTTTCACATTCACTCGATATCAAGTATAATCGTTTTGTTTGATAAAACATACTAAATATTAGGTTCAAATTGAGTTCTGTTCTATTTTCAAAAGAATGATACATCTGTGATATATGACACAAGGCTGACAAAGAAAAAAAATTAACTCCTTACGAAATATAATTTCTACCAGGACTGCCAGATAGGAACTTGTTTAGATCCAACATCGTTATATAATAAATTTTGTATTCATGTTGTTACAAAAAATTGATGGTCTGGTGTAAACGTTCTTGCTACTCACAATAAGCATCACTTATTCCCTACATTGTTTCTTCATTGTATGTTTGATTATTTGTCATTTTTGATATCATGATTAGATTTTTTAATGTGATGCGGAGCAAAGCATTTATGTAGTTCGTCACATACACATTTGACCTGCATTATTTGTATGTGTTTTGTTGTAGCAAAATTTGGAGTTTGTGATGCAGTATTCTAGAGAATATGTCAGGAAGATCCATATCTCGCAATGATGCAAACGTTTTTGAATCTTCAATATGAGTTTTCGTTAATCTTCGGTAAGAGCGATAATGGAAACGTTCGACAGAATAAAATTGATTCTAGATGAAATCGTTTATCGTTCTTATGTTAATTGATATTCCATTGCCGAACTTTGAGATCGTTTCGCGTCCCATTTCTGTAGTCTTTTATGAGTCTTATTTTTTCTTACTTACGAGGGAACATTCCCAAGTGATACGCACCATTTGGGTTCATATTGTGCTCATAAGTAGGACCCAATAAGACTAGAAAAAGCCTAAAAGAGTTCGTGCCATTAGGCCTTTCTTTCAAAGTTATGACCGTTTTAGTGAATTTTCGACCTTGGGCAAGGAAT